CCCTGTTCTTTCTGACAGGAGTAAACTAGGCGTGCACGACTGCTCCGCCCCTTCTAGACCATATCGCAGCTGTAATCTGCTTGGTTATAAGCAGGCGTTACTCAAGCAGTTTATCATTTTCATTTCCACACCTAGCATAGGCACACAAATATTTATCCTTTACCACCCTTCGAGTTCAAACCAGGGCCGAGGGTTCAAAAAATGTAAACGTTCGTAGGTTCTATAGACACAGTCTAGAACAACAAAAATAAAGTTGTCACATTTTGTCCGAATGAAAGATTAAGTTGTCTTTGGAACAAATAAAAATTTTGCATAATGTTTTAGTTTGTTTATAAAGTTAAAGAAGATTTTTAAAAAGACTAGAATGAACAATTAAGTTCTAATTACGCGTTCTTTTGTGTGACAACCATTGATAGATAAGCAATTTTGAGATTTAAAGCAGTAACAATTACAACACCGTTTTAGGTGCAAAAATAACGAGAGATGTTGCATGGCATTAAGCAAAAAAAAAACGGATCATTCAATGGAGGTTGTGCTAAAATTTTCATTCACAAAACCAGATTTAAAAAATAATCTGAAACTTCCTCCCCTGCAATTTGCAAAAACGAATCGTGAATTTGACACTAAACAGTTTGAAAGTTTCAAAAACCCCGAAATAAGAGAAAAAATGCAATGCACTTGATAAATTTGACAACTGTACAGTGCACAATGTACAGTGTACAATGTACAGTGTACAATGTACATTGAACAAATAAACCCATAATTTTAAACTTTAAAAACATGAGAGACTTGTATGAACAAACAAACCTCAGCCCACGCAAACAATTCCTTGGAGTAAAAACAAAACTAAATATTAGTTAGACCCACCAAACAGTCTCTTACAAAAATGAATTTATTGCATGTGAAGTGATAAAAAAATGCAAGAAAATTTTCTGGTTAATGATTACAAAAAGTAGTTGAAATTATAGATTACATATATTTATAGTTAGATGAATGGTAGTCAGCTTAATGAACAATACAATACAATGTCACATAGACCTTCTCCTTTTGTCAATAGTTTACAGAGATATATTTGCGGGCGATCATACTGCTATCACCTTTCTATCAATACAATACAATATCGCATAGACCTTCTTCTTTTGTCTATAGTTCACAGAGATATATTTGCGGGCGATCATAATGCTATCAACTCTCTATCATTACAATATGTTAATTCATCCGTTTCATAATAAACAAAATGATGAACTTACAAATTTTAAAATAGAACATAATAAAAACTATAAAAAAATCCTATCCTATTTTTCCAGTTTCTCACACATACCAAATTAAATCCCATGCAATTTGTGTTTACACGATGTTTTCGATGATAAAAGAGCAAACATATGAATATGCTGCTAAAAAAGTCAAAACTGAATTCAAGATAAATAAGTAATATATAATCTAATTATTTAATATTTCAGGCATCAATGATGGATTCTACAAACCATATTGGGAGTGCAGACAGCGGGGTGTCTGTTGGTGAAAGATATATTTTTGAAGCCAGTGATTCAAATCTTAATAGTGAATTTATTAAATCCTCTGAACAACTGCATTCTAAAGCAAATATTGGCAATGAAAGATCAATTCCAATCCAAATTGAGTGCAATTATGATGGAAATGGCGCCAAATATTCAGCTGATCTTGAATGCAACTCCACCAAACCAAACCAAATCAGCCATCTTGAACGACTGATCAGAACTCACTCAATCTGGTTTATAGCAGACCTATCAAGAGAAGAGGCTGTTAGAATACTACACGCTAAAGAAGAAGGGGTAAGTAAAATATTTAGATATTTAGAAGAATTTTTTTTCTGTCTATATGATAAAGCTCTTCGCTCATATATATATTTATTTGTATATAGCTGGCCAAACGGCTGGAAAAATTTGGCTGAACTTTTTTGAGATAACCCTTGGGTCTATAGGCTACAAAATTTCGAAATTATTTTTCAAAACTCTTTTTTTTGTTTACTACACACATTTTTGTATTTCAGAACTTTTTGATTCGGCAATCCAGTCATGCAAATACACTGGCACTATCCATCAAGCTTGGTAAGGAACCTATGTGATGCCCAAAATGGTTTCCTGTCTTGTAAAATTAAATAGACCCGGCCATTTAGGGAATAATACACAATATTCAGAATTTACAAATGCACCGCATATTCTAGCAAAATAGATAATTTGTTCCATTCAATTAATTTTTTTCTTTGTTTTATTTGAAGATAAAAACAGTGAACGTCTTTTTTCTTGATTCTTTGTTTATTTTAGGTTCGGTAGATGGGTTTCAAGTTAATCACTTCATTATCCTAGCTTCAGGAATATTTACATATCTGTTGATCAAGTTTAAATTATTTAGAAATCAATAACATGAATAAACCATGATATTACAGTACTTATTGTGTATTTATCATAAATTATACATCACTCCATCAATGCACACTGCACAGTTGAGTTGTAAAATAAATTTGCCACCCTATTCTGAACCCATGAATTTAATTCTTTGTCCCCCCTTCACACCCACACAATCCTATTTTGCAAAACTACCCCTCTTACTTAAGATTCATTTAGCACCATAATTAAAAGTTGTAAAATGTAAAATATTAATTTCAGAAAGTGGAATAAGGCTTGAAGACTCATCCCGTCTTTACGATAATATTTTAGGATTAGTTCATCAACATTCAATACAAAGGTAGGTATACATACAAATACAAATACAATGTTTTAAATATAAAACAGTCCCTTCTTATTGTTAAAAATCTGTTCATAGAAATCCTTGTATTTAAGATTCAATCTAAGTTTCTGTTTTACAAAAACCTCTTAACCATTCTTTCTCTGTTTCTCTATTTTTCTCAAATTTAACACCTTCTAACAAGCATTTTAAAAATAGTTAAAAACCCTCTATTCTCTATTTTCTATTCTCGAAAGTTGATTATTATTCCAACTTCCTTTTTCATCAAAAATTTACTAACAATGATAACATGCTCAAGTTCATTCTTATTTTAAAAAAAACTTTGGAACAATTCCTATTTTCCTTTTAAATAAACGTTTTATACTTTGAACAAATCTACAAACATCCCCAAATTCTCTCAAAATCTCTTTTAAACATTCATATTCCATATACACATATACCAGGATATAGAAGCACTATAGACAGACATTATATAGATAAATAAGGAATCTGACAGACAGACAGATATTTGGTACGGACATATTGAATACAATACTAGTATACTCAACTTCTTAAACAGATAAGGTTGGGCTCATTCTAATACACTTAAACACATTTATAGGAAGGATTGATGGATACATAGAGGAGCGGGGGGTAGATTCAAGGGATAAATAAGATAGATAGATAGATAGATTCAAGGGATAAATAAGATAGATAGATAGATAGATAGATTTAAGAGATAAATAAGATAGAGAGAGAGAGTTAGATTCAAAAACACATTTATAGGAAGGATTGATGGATACATAGAGGGGGGGGGGGTAGATTCAAGGGATAAATAAGATAGATAGATAGATAGATTTAAGAGATAAATAAGATAGAGAGAGAGAGTTAGATTCAAAAAATAAATAAGATGAGAGCTAGAGAGGAAGATTCAATTCAAAGAATAAATAAGGTAAATAGAGGGGTACGTAAGATTTTTAATTTGATTTTATCAGGATCACGCAAATCTGCCCCTTCAGTAATAGTAAATTCAGCCTATATGAAGCATAAAGTCTGACCGCGTCAACTTTGTTGCACCGGCTAGTCCTGTCCATAGAGTTAGGTATTACAAACTGGGACCGGAATGGTTGACCCGGCTCAGAAATTCAAATGTACTACGGCTGCCCGTGGGATGACCAAATTTTATTTTGATTCCCTGAGACCTATTCATTTGTTGTTACTATCAGTAGATACTTAAATATCTTGGGATTTTCTCGGATTTATTTACACGAGATTTATCCAAAAAGTTTGAAAACAACATTCTTGCTGAATCCCTTGTTTTCATTATCTCACCCCTATCTTGACAGTGTATTTATTAACAGGAAAGGATTGTTTTAAACTATAGACATTCTTTTTACTGCAGAGTAACCTCCCTCCCCTCCCTTCTACTTCCTTTCTTCTTCTCCTCTATTCACATCTCTCTTCCTCCTCTTACCTCTTAAATCCCCCCTGCCAGGCTCCCTAATACCCCCACCTTCCCTAGATTCACCCCATCCCTTCCACATGATTAAATCCCCCCTGCCAGGCTCCCTAATGCAAAACAGTTTCCCCTACGCAGAAAATTGAAAAATGCCTGTTTTTAGAATATGCATAAAAATTTGAACTTATCTAGATGTGAGCTGCCTGTGTTGCTAGCCCTACCGGAAATACTACGGGAAACCGGAAGCAGACAATACCTTGATTCTTTAGCACTTTTGGGGAAAGGTATCTTTTCTCTAACTTTTTATTTTTCCAACTGCGGGGAGTACGAGCTCGTAGAAGAATTGTATTATGGTATTTGTCTCCTTTAAACCGACGAAGCTAGAAACAATTGCAGTTTGTTTTTATATTTACATGTCTAGGGCTACAAAAAGTATAAAATGTCCAAGGGTCAGTGATAACTAAACACTTATTTTAAAACATAATATTAATTTTATCGAGTTTTTAGGCAAGTTCTGATTATTAAGGAACTTTTCTTTAACAGCTTGGTAACCAAACTTTAACTGAAAATATACAAATGTTGACCTAGAACCTATTTCTAAAAACATTTCCGTGGTTATAACGAGTTCCCCAATCAAAATTTGATGCAAATCGGTCAAATGGTTCATGAGTCAACAAACAAACAAACTACTTTAGATATAAAGAAAATTCTACTGTAATTATAATTCAAAGTTAAACATAATTTTTAATTGAACATTTTTGCCTATATTAATAGATTCTCTGTTATAATACTTATAAAAGAAAGGAAATGAGCGCAACAACTTAAAAAGTGAAAAACTATACAACGTTGTATACAACCTTTTGCAAGTTCTAGTTTTGTTTATGTATAAATTATATCTTTGCAACCTGATGTCGTTTACCTCTAATATTTTGAACATATGAATTCTGCTAGATTATAAATAGTTTAAAATATCAAAGGTTTAAACCATCAAGTTGAAAGGAAAAAGAAATCAAAAAATTAGTTGGTTAATTCAGTTCCTTCGTATTGTTTTAATGTAAAAAAAAACAGAAAAATTAACAGCCTTATTTTTCTTGTTGTTTCTAGCGTTCTGGCGATATCCAATGTCTAATCCTGGAAGAAGATCTCAAATCCTCCCTGAAGCCCAGAATGTTCAGAATAATATCCACCTCAATGGAAATGTCCAAAATATCCACGCTAGTCAAACAGGATATAACAGTGAACGGTCGATATTGGAAAGTACGACTTCACTCTTAATGGGTCAACATAAAATACTTAATTCTGATTGGTCAGACGAATCCCAGAGCAGGGAAGAAAGCATTTTAGTCAACGAACCCGACGGAATAATGCAATATAAGTATTGTGATTATAAAATTGTCGAGAATATGCCTGACAATACAAATCCTTCCCAGGAATCACCTTGGAGTAATTCCCTGTGGATCGGTTCAGGATCCCATATTCCTACTGATCCTATTAATACTCTTGAGTATCCTGTGAATGCATTAATCAATGAATCAGATGCCGGACTGAACTCCAGGAATCCTGATCATCCAATCAATCATATCGAGGACCTAACACCACTAATTAGGGCACCCTCCTGCTCCTTGAGGGCCGGGATACAGGCAACACTCTTAGGGAATCCCATGCATTCATGAGTAATATTAATTTTATCCTTCCCGGACATTTTCTCATTTTAGCGAAGATATATTGACATGGGCCAGCTCATATCTATACATGGAGCGGAGGGAAAGGGGGTCAATGAGGAGATTAGGGACGGGGGAGTTGGATTTGAAAATAAGGGATGGGGGCGGTGAGAGTAATGGGAATGTATGTTCGTCTGAACAGGGGAAGAAATAAGGATTTTACGGAATTTAAATACTGAGACATTACAGGGGTTGAACTAATATTGATTTACCGCACATGTCTGCTTTAACTTTTTCTTAAATTCTGAGGATTTCAGAAGAAGAAGAAGAAAAAAGAAAAAACAGCTGGATCCACTCCCCCTTTTACAATGAAGGTTAGTATAGTATAGTACTTCTGATTCATCTAAAGGGACTGTCGGCGTAATTTCAAGTGAACATACATTTAAAGAGGTTTTTCTCGATTCACAATGTTACCTTTTGATCCTTCGCTTGATTGTTGATAATTTTGTGGTTTGCGTATTTATACAGAAGATTCAAAAAAGGAGATTGTGCGAATTTAACACCTTTCTCGATGAAAAATGACGAAATGTTTTTTGTTGCTTAGATACAGGTTTAAACTTTAAAGAGTACCATAGTGAATCAGGCGTACGATCTCTAGAGGGGTTAATATAGAAATTACGTCGACAGTCTCAATGATCAAAGTTTATTTCACTTTTCAAATTGTGAAACTCTTTTTGTTTTATTGGTTTATTTGATGAAGTCTACCTGGAACAGTATTTATCATGTATTCTATAAAGATTAGTTTGTTTCTATGTTTATTTTTATACTTTATGTTTATTTAATGCTTCTGTAAGTCAATAAACATTATTAAGTTTAGATCTCGAAAACTTAATTTTATGAATTTTTAGAAAATGTTGGTTCGTCGGCTCAGCTGCACCCTGAATCTTCTAGGCAACATTTTAATAATAAAACTAGAAACATGAAATTATAATTCCAGGTTTATAAAGAACATTCATCTGAAAAGTTAAGCAAACATGGAAATAGACAGGTAGAAGGGGTAGTTACTTGGTCAATATATGGGAGGGAGGAGTTACTCAGTTACTTGGTCAATATATGGGAGGAAGGAGTTACTTAGTTACTTGGTCAATATATGGGAGGGAGGAGTTACTTAGTTACCTGGTCAATATATGGGAGGGAGGAGTTACTCAGTTACTTGGTCAATATATGGGAGGGAGGAGTTACTTAGTTACCTGGTCAATATATGGGAGAGAGGAGTTACTAAGTTACTTGGTCAATATATGGGAGGGAGGAGTTACTCAGTTACTTGGTCAACATATGGATGGAAGGGAGGATTTACTCAAATACCTTAAGCATATATTTGAAATCCATTTATCTTAAGAATTCCAAGTTCTTTAGATGTTAGGGAGGGGGGGGGGGCTATAGAACTAGAATATGTTTTGTCTGAACAAAAACTTAAGTAACTGATGATATCTAGAATAGGTATAGTTTGGGTAGCGTGCAAGGGGGGACGCGACGGAGGAAGGAAACTTTATATATAAAGGATTTCCTGCAACTATGAATTTGATTCTATATTTGCGCTATCATGGCAGAATACTACTTTATTAAACGTTGAAAACGTCATACTTTAAAAGCTTTAGGTCGTCTTTACAGTCTCATTTTTTTTTGGTAATCCTGTACATGATATTTTGTTTATGTCTGAATCTACAAGATTATATAATGTGTTTATCTAAATAAGGCAAGTGTAATCTATTGAGGCATATGATGAAGGCATAAAGCAATTATGTATTAGCTCTTAAGCTTTACAGGTTGGAACATATATAAATGGATTTTTGTGCACCTAAAACGTAGTTGCGAACTGCAGGGGCTTTCTAAAAATATTTGCATTTGTTGAGAAAAATGCTTGATATTTACATGTGATAAGATGTCGTTATTAGATATCTGTAAACATACATATTGCATTTTCTAAGATCCCCGGAAAATATATAAACTCTCGTGTTTTGAAAAATAAAGATCATAAACTTTGTTTTCCGTGGTATCAAAACATTCCGTCTCCTTTCTTTCTCTTTGCTTTCTATCAGTCCAATTTCTTTCTCTTTCGTTTTATTTATCCGTTTCCTTTCCTTCAATTTTTCCTTTCTTTATTTATCTTTTTTGTCCATTTTTTCTTTCTTTCATTCTATTAATCAGTTCTTTTTTTCTTTCTCTTCTATCTATCTTTTTATTCATTCTTAATCCTTTTCTTTCTTTCATATTTTTGTTTTGTTTTATTTCTTCCTCCTTCTATTTATCAGAAATTGTTCTTTTCTTCAATCTTGCAAAAAAATATCCATCTTATTTCTACAGAGCTGAAAACTTTAGAATGGGATATCCTTAATCCCGATCGGTTAATTAATCTGGAGATTAATAACATGAGAAGAACGAGCCATATTTAATCTGGAGATTAAGAAAAAGAGTGGATTAAGCATTAATCCTGATATCCACAATTCAAAAGTTCCCAGCTCTGTACAGTTCGTCTCTACAAATACTATATTTATCTAACAAATATTGTAGAATTATTCTAACAAACCCCCACATGCCTTAGTGATAGTCTAAAACTAAACAAAATTTAATCCTTATCCCATTCCCCCCCCCCTCCCCTCCTTAGCTTATCTTTGCTTTGCCAGGCTCTTCAATACCCCCCCCTCTCCCCCTCTCCTATACAGAGTACCCATTACTCCTGTGAATAGAAAGTCCCCCTTCATTTAACTCTCATCTTTCAAAAATTTCAAACATCTTAACATCACTTTTGCATATTCCCTATAAAAAGCCTATTCCTGTACTGAACTCCAAAAATATTTTAAGGGGGGGAGGGTCTATTTTCTCTTAGATTTACTTGAAACATCTGGATAAAAGGGATTTTGGCAAAAGTTCAAATATTTTAAAACAAAATTTTGATTAATATACATTTTAAAGGTGTGTGTGTGCAAAATTTGTATACAATATGCTTCCCTTTTTCATAATGAAAAAAATAGATACAAGGTTTTGTGTCCACATAAAGGTTTAGTCTGGCAAAATAAGAGAAGGCATTGTTATCAGGCAGTATGTATCAGGCACTCTCCACTAAAACTCACTATTTCTTCGGTCAGAAATACTGCAGATTAATACGGTACGAACCGAAAACTTATGGTGCAGGATGATCGGCTATATAAGCCCAGATTTTGCCTGAAAGTATATTACTTGTTCAAAAAAGTAAATGAAAAGTATTAACCTCTGTTTGAGTGTTTGTTTGTTTGTTTTTGTGTCTCTTCATAACTTATATTTTGATTGGGTAATTCGTTAAAACCACGGGAATGTTTTAAGCTTGGTCTTATCGTTCTTATGTTAAGGCGGTTGTTTCCAGGCAAAGCTGGGTTTCCAAGCTAGTTATTAACATAATGTTGCTGAAATCTAGGCAAGGACAACACATACATGAACGAGCTTATCCTCAGAGACCAGAAATGAGATTGGGAGCTCACCAGCAGAGACCAGAAATGAGACTGGGAGCGTACCTGCAGAGACCAGAAATGAGACTGGGAGCTTATCAGCAGAGACCAGAAATGAGATTTCAAGCTGACCAGCAGAGACCAGAAATGAGATTGGGAGCTCACCAGCAGAGACCAGAAATGAGACTGGGAGCGTACCTGCAGAGACCAGAAATGAGACTGGGAGCTGACCAGCAGAGTCCAGAAATGAATCCTAGACTTCGAGCTGACTATTTCCGTTCTTCTATTACTGACAAGGCAATTGGGTTTACCACACCATGTTTGTCTATCGAAAAGAATTGTATGTATTACAGAAGAAGCTATTCTAAGTTTTACAAATAAGAATTAATGAATTTGGTAAACCAAATGTATCCAAGATGTCCGATTACGAGGATATTTGGGAGGGAACTCCAGAGCGGGAAACAAGATCATCAACCAGGTAAATCAAATTAAACTGTCGGAATCATCCTAATTTTATTTATTTATGCTCTTTAAACTGAAAGGGACAGTTGGCACAATTAAAAGTGACTCGACATTAATAAGATTTACAACGATACCTCTTAGTTCTTTCTGAATTACCCTTTCTTTGCTGCATACAAGTACAAGTACTTCTAAAAAATGAACCCGCAATTGAGAAATATCAATTTGCAGATATAAAATCAAGGATATCTACATCATTCTTTGCTCAGTTCAAGGTTTAAAGGACACATTATGAACTCTTTAAATAAAGGATTACTTGAAATTACGTGATCAGTTCCCTTTAACATTTGTTGACAAGTTTCTATTAAATATTTCAAAACCTTGACAACCATTACTTTTCTTATTGTTTTCTCTAGGTTTAACAGATCCTTGACTCCAATACAATCTGAAGAATACTTTAAGGTTAGACAAATTTATAGAGCAAAAGATGTTAATTTATGTAAAATTAATTATAGAATTAGATATAGAAATATAATTAAAGGAACTTAACTTTTGCCACAAACTCAAACTTTCTAATCCCATATCTTTGAAACTTGATTGTGTGAATCTTTTAAACTTCAAACTTAAATAATTGAATCTAACAGAATTTTTAGTTTGAAATATCAAAGGTCTTCGACATTGAGGTGCAAAGATCATGGATTAGAAAACCAGAGTTTGTGGTAAAGACTCAATTCCTTTGGACATAAATACCGTCAAGGTATATTATCATTATTAACAGAACCTATCATTCAAGGATATAAAATGACCAAACATCAATAAAAGGAAAAGGCGAAACATGAAATTAGTAAAAGGAAGACAGAAAGACAGGAACATATTTAAAGGAACACGACAGTTGAGGTTAGGAAAAGTACAACAGACTGGAAGACATGAAAAGTACAAGGCATAAATTTATGTAAAAGAAAAGGCATGATTATGAAAAGTACAAACAGGAAAATATAATAAAACAGTAGAAGTTAAGGTTTAGGACAAGAGACATGAACTGAAATGAACAGGACAAATATGAAATAAATTTCTTAAACGGACACAATAGAAAAATATGAACAGGACAAGATCGAAAGGGATGAGAATTATTACATTAGAAGAGTTGTTGTTCTTGAGTAATCATAAAGTTAAATGATGGAATATAATTTATCTCCTCTATAGTGTTATGGGATGGATTACAGATCTTCATTAAATTAAATGTGAATGTCTACATATATTATCATTAACAATGATCTGATAATTGAAAGACTCGATCATCATAAATGATCCAAGACACAATTATCCTAATCGATCGAAGATTCGATCATTATGAATGATCCTTGAATGAAACTCTCGATGTAAAGTGCAGGATTCAAATTGAAAAAGTATTGAATTGCACCGTGCACATCTGGTTATTTTAATAGGCTGGAAATCTTTATTTTCAGGCTTACCTGTTGGGGAAACTTCAAGGGAAAGACCCTCCTCTCAGTTCCCCCAGAAGTTAGTTGTTGGAGAAGCTAGGAAAATATATGCATAATGTTTCACTTGTAGATGATAGATTACTGAGAGAGAAAAACTGTGGAAAAATATTCCCGGTAAAAATATAAATAGAAAATATGAATAAGTCGATGGGTCACGCATAATTACAATTCGGTGCAACTCAGTAGTTACCAAAATGTGTGTATGCCTTGGCTGGGATGCGAGGTTTAAACTTTAAAAAGATATATAGAGCTCGACCCCCTATCCTAGTCGCAACCCTACAGAGCTCGACCCCCTATCCTAGTCGCAACGCACGATTAAGAAAATGTCTAGAGTCCGTAATAATTTTTCCCTTCCAGCCTAAATTTAAATTTGAGAAATTACTCTTTGGAAAAAAGTTTACCACAGGGAAATTTGGGGAATTAGTCATTTTGAAAAAAAATTCCGCAGGGGAAATATTTTTAACATCCAACCTACGCACGATGTATTTTCTATTAAGGAGTGGGGGGGGGGGGGCACAATCTGTATCTAGTCACGGTCAAATTTTGATGGTATAAGGCTGAATTCTATTCTTTAAAAATTGGTCAACAGAATTTAATTCTAAATACAAATAATTCTAATACCTGATCTTTAGTAACGTGTTAAGTTAAATATAAGAAATAAAATGAGTTTACTCCAAATCTTCTCTAATGAATTAAAGTATCCTGGGGGATAAATTGGCAATATGTTCTTAAACACTATAAGCACACCAATTTTTCTGAAAACTATGATCGATTTCTTGAATGAATTTCTTAGAATTTTCTATTTTCCGAAATTCCTCCATTATTTACATATTTGAATTGCAATGGAACTAAATACTTGCCCCAAACTCTTACTATTTAATCATAATTTTTTCTAATTGATGGAGTAAACCTGTGATTTTTTAAAATTTGACTATTTTGATATTTCAAACTTTAACCATTTGATCAAACATAATTCATGGTTTAAAAATGAAATTGCAAAGATGTGAAGATTAGAAAAGTTTTGTGCAAGTTTTCAGTTCCTGTAAATCTAGTAAACCTAAATATTTGCTTATCTGCCAATGCTTTCCTTATCATTAGCAAATTAAGGTTCTTTTTCTGAGCTGTCCAAACGACTGTCAGTATATTTGTCAAAATGGATGAATATTCGACTGTCAATACATCTGTCAATACATCTGTCATTGTACTTTCATGTACGTCAGTATTTTTTTCTTCTTTTCTTCCTGCTCTTCCCTACCTCCCACATCATTCCCTAACCTACCTCCTTTATCCCGCGGCCCCCCATCCTTCAATCCTTACCTACTCTACCTCTCCTCTGCCTTCTCCCTCCATCATTTAATCCTTCACTACCCTACCTCCCATCTCCCTTCTACCTCCATTATTTAATCCTTCACTACCCTACCTCCCCTCTCCCTCCTACCTTCATCCCTTTAATCCTTACCTACTTTACCTCCCCTCTTTAAACTATCCTGCTCCTTTCTTAATCCCTGTCCTTCATTCCATTAAACTATTCTACTCCTTTCTTAATCCCTGTCCTTCATACCACTAAATTATCCTGCTCCTTTCTTAATCCCTGTCCTCCATTCCACTAAACTATCCTACACCTTTCTTAATCCCTATTCTTCATTCCATTAAACTTTCCTGCTCATTTTTTAATTTCTGTTCTTCATTCCACAAAACTATCCTGCTCCTTTCTTAATTCCTGTCCTTCATTCCACCAAACTTTCCTGCTCCTTTTTTAATCCCTGTCCTGTATTCCACCAAACCATCCTGCTCCTTTCTTAATTCTATAATTATTTTTTGTTCTCATAGCCTTCCCCTATTGTCAAACGTATCTCCACCCTTCTTAACACCATATTTAACCCCTTCTTACCCTTGCTCCCTCATTCACCCCATTCCTTCCCTAGTCCCTCCTCCTTGTACCCCCTACATCCTTGTATGTCTTGTGAATACAGACCCGTCTAAACACATATTTACAATATGTAGATATAATCTATTGGCCTCATTTACTAACTAAATACTTATTGATAAACAACCGAAGGTCCAACCTACAGATAACACAGATCGGACAAGAGTGGTTCTAGTTTAATTTCGGAATATTCTGTGCATTACAACTATAACAATAACCTCGTTGATAACAACCCTTTTGAACACAATCTTTTCAATGAGCCTCACGCCATGCATGAGGGGTGGTGCAGAGGGTAACGAAACCAACTCCATCTGTACAAAGTTGTTAGCAATAAATATAGATATTTTTATAATATCGACGAGTTTTGTTCTATCTGTGTTTTCTGTGAGCTAGCCACACACACAACATGTCGAACATGTACACAACATGTACACTTTCCAGACTGTTCTTTTAAAACATAGATTACAGAAATAGTTTAGAAAATTTAACACTGATGATTTGTAAGAGAAAATTTTTCTTCAAAAATACAAAAAATTAGAATTCATCTTTAGGGGTTTTCAAATTGAAACCGGCGTTGTATTTCTTCATTTATTTCATCATATTTTAAGTGATCTCAATCAAAGAATACAGTGGCCGAATTTAAAGAATTTGAGCGGCGGTTTAAATTTAAGCTGCGGTTTAAATATGGTTGGTTCCACTTAAAATTGTATCAAATGTTTCAAGATTTAAACCGGCGCTTAATTTAAACCGGGTTTTGGAGGATTTAAAACGCGGCTTAAATTCTTTAAATTCCATCTCTGTTCGACTAAGAAAATAACTTAGAGTGCTTATCTTCTTTCTTATTTATCATATTTGGGATTTTTGAAAAGAATAAAAAAAATATATTTTTCATAATAAAAACACAAAATAAATCCTTACATGGTCGACATATTACAATACATCTTTTAAACATAATATAAACACTTTTCTTTGCTTTAATTTTTTTTTAATTAGGAAACATTCTAGATTGTGTACGAACATATAATTTATAAATTAAAAAAAAATGAATTTTTCGAAATTTCTGAAATCTGAATTATATCATTTCGATCAATCATGTCGATTTTGAACTATTTGATGTTTAGAGAGCTGTAGCGAAGAGAGCATTAATGCCGCAGATAATATTGATTTTTACGATTTCTCGGATTCAGATTCAGAGGATCTAAATTCACGACTTGATCCACGTCCAGATTCAGATCTAGCAGATCCTTTGCAAATTTTAGGAACAAAATCAAGACATAAAAGAAATTACATGTTTTCAAATTTAAAGAATTGAATTATTAACACTTGATAAAAGGATTATAGTAATATCTTACTTAAGTTTCATTGGGTCTGTCCTAGAGAACGATTTTTGGATCCCCTCCGGAACCCCAGGCCCCCCGTTCCCCCTCTTATCAATTTTGTACATGACCACTAATTTTCAGCAAAATTATTTTTATTTATTTTGTATTATTTTAGGGTAGGTTAGGTTAAGAAAATTTCTGGGCCGAGCGCTGCATCTAGGACAGACTAAGGGGCCGAGCGCTGCGGTTAGGACAGGCTAGGGGTGTTCGAGCGCCGCGGCCACACGACCAAATATATCCATGTGTTACATATGATATCCATGTACAAAATTTATAGGAGGGGGGGGGGGGGTCCAAAAATCGTTCTCTTGGAAATTAACCTTTCAGTAATATCTCTGAGCTGAAAAAGTGTTCATAATGATTTTATCAGCTGAATTTTTTCTAAAAGTTCCGAATATTAATAGTTGATTTAAAAATTCTTTTGTCATTTCTTTTACAAGTTCTTAAAAAGTTTCAGTCTCTTTCTTCTGAAAACTTTATCTCGATTTTTTAACAGAAAATGCCACAGATACTATGGTAGATAGTTTTCAAGAAGACGATCTCAGGTATCTATATATATATTAAATATCAAGAAAGGAATAATTCTAGAACATACCTTTAGAACATAGATCAAGGCAGCAAAAAAAATAATGCATTATTTACTATGACTGAGTCGACTTTGATGCGTGACAAAGGGGAGAAGGTAGAGGGAAGAAGGTATGGTAGAAGGAAGGGTAGAAATAAGAAAGTGAAGAAGGAAGCGGCTAATGAAGAGGAGAATGGTAGAAGGAAGGGTAGAAATAAGAAAGGGTAGATAGAAACGGCTAATGAAGAGGAGAATGGTTGACGGAAGGGTAGAAATAAGAAAGGGTAGAAGGAAGCGGCAATAATGAAGATGAGAATGGTAGAAGGAAAGATAGAAGTAAGAAAGGGTAGAAGGAAGCGGCAATAATGAAGATGAGAATGGTAGGAGGAAGGGTAGAAATAAGAAAGGGTAGAAGGAAGAGGCTAATAAAGGGGAGAATGATAGAAGGAAGAAAAGAGGAGAGTAGAGGAGAAAGGGAGAAAGAAGGAGAGAAGAAAGGGTAAAAGGAAAGGGAGAAGGAAGGGGAGAAGGAAGGGAAGAATGACTGGGAGAAGAAAGAAAAACAGGAAGTTTTTAAGAAGGAAATTCTATCTAATTCCTTTCCAGGGTGGAATCCTTTGTAATGTTCTCAACTCTCACTGATATTATTTACAGGCTCAGTGAATATATGGACCTTGTATACTGTAGTTCAGACAGTTTGCTTCCCAAACAACAACAACAACAAGTCTTGCAACAGCCAAAATTGATCCAACAACAATCACTAATGATTAAAAGACAGAAATCTCACTCACAACAACAAATACAGCAAGTACAAAATATGAATGAAGTAAATTCCTGTAATGAAAAAAGCCATAGTAATTACAATGATGATAATAATGCTGCACCGTCCACTCAGATCAAACAAATACAGGTAAAGCAAATATTTTCTTTTGTCTGCGGGGCGAAAAGAAAATGATTTTTAAACTTCTAGTTTTTTTCTTTGTAAAAAAAGCTTGCCAAACTAATGAAATGAAAAAATGTCAAAAGATTTTTATTCAAACATTGAAATTTAAAATTCTTTTTTAAAACAATCTTAAATGTTCCTCCGTATCTTCTATTTTTATTAGACCTAAATAGATGTTCAAGGATAATTTTTTTTATCTTTAGGGTCGTATTTTGAGAAATAAAAACTTGTCTTTTTTAAAATTTAAAAATAATAAAAAATTATGAGCAATGTTTATATAGAGAAGGGTAGTAGAACTGAACCATGTCGGACCCCCACCCCTAGCAGACACACACCTCACCACACCAACACACAATTACCGACGCTCTCTTCATCTTCCTAAACCTAAGCAAGAGGAGAAGAAAAGATTCAGGAAAAATGTGCTCAATTTTTTTTTACTTTTCAAAATTATAAGTAGTATTTGTTCCCCCGTTTAATCTGAACTACCCCTAAATTTTTTTTACTGTTTGACTAAATGAACTGATTACTTACATGAAATTCTAACTCTGAAATCCTTGTATCTTTGCAACATGTTGTATCAGACCTTTGATATTTCAGACGGGGATTGTACTATTATTAGGTTGCAACAAGACGGGGATTGTACTATTATTAGGTTGCAATAAGACGGGGATTGTACTATTATTAGGTTGCAATAAGACGGGGATTGTACTATTATTAGGTTGCAATAAGACGGGGATTGTACTATAAGTGTTTTTTAGTTTCCTAATGTTTGTCTTCCTTGTTTTCAAGGAACAGTTTTCTCACCAATCTTGAATGTTTGTTTCTCTTAATTGCGGCCATATTCCTGTTTCTATACTGTATTTGCAATTCTCTGTTTGTTTTTATCTGTATTTTACAAGTTTTTACAAACACAATTATCTTTCTGTTTACACGTCTAATCATGCTTCCCTTTCTGGGGGGTAAACAGGGGTGGGGGGGGGGGGTTTCAAACTATCGTGTATACTACAGTGATAACCAGAAAACTCTGGAATAGGAAGTCGACTTTTAACCTCAAGCTATGACTGTAACTAGTCCAATGAGCATGAAACACAGCAACTGTGCAATGTAAACAGACCCATTTCACTTCATAAGTGATTTAATAACTTACTTGTAAAGCAATTTGCTTTGTATCAACATCAAATGCACTAAAGTACTGCTTTATGCACTGAAGTACTGCTTTAATGTCATCTTCTTATTCTACTATTTTCTGGTTATCACTGTATATACGCCCCTGTTCACTTCTATCCAAATATCTGATTGTTTGTCTGTTTGTCCATATGTAGATTGAAGAAAGGAATTGAGTCTTTGCCACTAACACACTTGCTAATCTCTATATCTTTGCAACCTGATGGCGTAAACCTTTGATATTTAAAACTAACTACTTGATCTAACAATTCATAGCTGGAAATATCTAAGGTCTTCGACATTGGATTGCAAAGATATAGCGGTTTGAAATCAGAGTTTGTGACAAAGACTCAATTCCTTTATCCCTGGTTTAGTATCTGTGTAAAACTGTACGTCTCGCTATCTGTTAGAGTGTCTCCATGCTTATCTATAGTTCAGGCATATTTTTTTTCTGTAAATCTGTATTTAAATTTTTCTCATGGTACATTTTCTGTCTACAAATTATTCTACTTGAATAGGTTTAGTTATTTTTTATTTGAATTATCTAGTTTTCCATCTATCTATCCATCTTTAGAAATATCTATCTATTTTTCTATCTATCTATCCATCTTTAGAAATATCTATCTACTTTTCTATCTATCTATCCATATTTAGAAATATCTATCTATTTTTCTATCTATCTATCCATCTTTAGAAATATCTATCTATTTTTCTATCTATCTACCCATCTTTAGAACTATCTATCTATTTTTCTATCGATCTATCCATCTTTAGAAATATCTATCTATTTATCTATCTATCTACCCATCTTTAGAAATATCTATCTATTTATCTATCTATCCATCTTTAGAAATATCTCTCTATTTTTCTATCTATCTATCCATCTTTCGAAATATTTATCTATTCATCTATCTATGTTCTTTACTTCTATTTGTCTTTAAGTCCTAACCTTGACTTTGCTTTCATCCCTAAGCAAGGACAGTAATACAATCATTTTAATGGGAATTCTCGCCATGTTTCACACAATTTAACATTTTTTTACCTTAGGAACAGTTTCGCTTCAAACATCTGGATTTATTATGTTTACACTTTTACATGGCTTACCCCAGATTCTTTTATTTTAACCTTTTAACCTTTAATTAATTAATAACAGAATCGTAATTTCAAGCGACTCACTTTTGTAGTAAAATCAAACATATATTTTTATGTCACCTTTCTCAAGTCATTTATAAATAGTTTCCTTGTAAGCATCAAGCATTCCTAACATGTTTTTTAAGGACTATTATCATAATTGATTTTTATTTTTACTTTTCTATTAGTAACAAAAACGTAGGGGTTGGCTTAACTTTTGTTAAGAGATTATGCTTTACATACTTTAGAAGGTAACACAACATTTCCACATCTTTAAATTGAGTCCATCAAAGAATATGCAAAAAGAACACATTTGAAATGTTTCAGTGAATTACGGTTTGACATGCTTCAAGCTGGTGCTCTCCGGGTAGAAGGGGAGGAGGGACGTCAAGGGGGTGTTCTTCGGGTAGAAGGGGAGGAGAGACCTCAAGGGGGACAAAGTATAAAAAAACATTTGTCCACTAGTCTCACAGAAATCTCCTCCTCACCCAACCCTGGAGAGGGGGAGGGGCGCAGTGAGACTGAAGTGGCAGGCCGTGAGGGGAAACAGGAGGGGGAAAATACTTGCAGAGAGGGGGAATTGACAGAAGGGCAGGGTAGGGTGGGGAAACCTGTGTTTCGAAGCCAATCAGCCAGGTATATATCAGTTCTAATTTTACTTACAATATACATATCTTGGGATATTTACACAAAATTGTTCTAATTTTACTTACAACATATCTTGGGATATTTACAATATACATATCTGGGGATATTTACACAATATTGTTCTTTGCAATTTATCTGATCTTAAACATTTCTTTTTTAAACTGTATATTTCATTATTTTATGTTGTATTCATATTTATCATTTCTAATAAATATCCTTTATAGTCAGATTTCTAGCATTTAAACCCCATCATTAGGTGAAATTAAATAATGATAAGATTAAACCCTATATTTTTTAGTTTTTTTCATTGTTTTAATTTCTTCTAAAACGCTGGAAAAGTTTTCTTATAATAATTATGCTCATCCTCAGATATGGAATTGAACCAAACCCTGAGGAAAGAAGACTCAGTAACTTCCTTGGACGATATATTAAACGCGAGGAGTCTCTCAAGGTAACTTCCTTGGTTGGTAAATCAAGAGAGAGGAGTCCATGTAGGTAACTTCCTTGGTTGGTATATCAAGAGACAGGAGTCCCTCTAGGTAACTTCCTTGGTTGGTATATCAAGAGAGATGATTCCCTCTAGGTAACTTCCTTGGTTGGTATATTAAGAGAGAGGAGTCCCTCTAAGTAGCTTCCTCAGTTTGTATATCAAGAGAGAGTAGTCCCTTTAGGTAACTTCCTTGGTTGGTATATCAAGAGAGATGATTCCCTCTAGGCAACTTCCTTGGGTGGTATATCAAGAGAGAGGAGTCCTTCTAGGTAACTTCCTTGGTTGGTATATTAAGAGACAGGAGTCCCTCTAGGTAAATTCCTTGGTTGGTATATTCAGAGAGAGTAGTCCCTCTAGGTAACTTCCTTGGGTGGTATATCAAGAGAGAGGAATCCTTCTAGGTAACTTCCTTGGTTGGTATATTAAGAGAGAGGAGTCTCTCTAAGTAACTTCCTCAGTTTGTATATCAAGAGAGAGTAGTCCCTCTAGGTAACTTCCTTGGTTGGTATATCAAGAGAGATGATTCCCTCTAGGTAACTTCCTTGGTTGGTATATCAAGAGACAGGAGTCCCTCTAGGTAAATTCCTTGGTTGGTATATTAAGAGAGAGTAGTCCCTCTAGGTAACTTCCTTGGTTGGTATATTAAGAGAGAGGAGTCGCTCTAAGTAACTTCCTCAGTTTGTATATCAAGATAGAGTAGTCCCTCTAGGTAACTTCCTTGGTTGGTATATCAAGAGAGAGTAGTCCCTCTAGGTAACTTCCTTGGTTGGTATATCAAGAGAGAGGAGTCCCTCTAGGTAACTTCCTTGGTTGGTATATAAAGAGAGACAGGAGTCCCTCTAGGTAACTTCCTTGGTTGGTATATTAAGAGAGAGGAGTCTCTGTAAGTAACTTCCTCAGTTTTTATATCAAAAGAGGGGAGTCCCTCTAGGTAACTTCCTTGGTTGGTATATCAAGAGAGAGTAGTCCCTCTAGGTAACTTCCTTGGTTGGTATATCAAGAGAGAGTAGTCCCTTTAGGTAACTTCCTTGGTTGGTATACTAAGAGAGAGGAGTCCCTCTAGGTAACTTCCTTAGTTTGTATAGTAATAAGAGAAGTACCACATAATGATAAGAAAAACTGTTGAATCCTATAAAACATTTTTGATAATATGAAATCCATCTTCCTTTATCCAGTTGAAGGTATTGAAGGAACCGAAGAGAAAGACAAGTAAGGATGTGTGGCAAGTTGATTCATCAAGCTGGGAGTTTCTAGGTAATCAAATCTATAAATAAGTATCTGGCACTTTGGAACTTTTTAAATCCATAATACATATGTATAGACAAGAGTCCAGGGTCTAGTATTTGACAAACTCTGTGGTATTTGTCTTAATTCTATAATTTTACAAAGCATCTCATATTTCTCATTTTATCCGTTCTGATAATATTATTATTAAACTCTATTCATTGCTTCAACACAATTCAAATACACCAGTTTTTATGATTTCATAAAATTATACAATTAGAAAAATGTATTGGAAAATGTTTTTCCAAATAATTTGAATGATCTTAATGATTTGAATAATTTAAATGATTTGAATATTTTAATTGTTTGAATAATTTAAATGATTTGAATAAATTAAATGGTTTGAATAATTTAAATGATTTGAATAATTTTAATGATTTGAATAATTTTAATGATTTGAATAATTTTAATGATTTGAATATTTTAATTGTTTGAATAATTCAAATGATTTGAATAAATTAAATGGTTTGAATAATTTAAATGGTTTGAATAATTTAAATGATTTGAATAATTTAAATGATTTGAATAATTTAAATGATTTGAATAATTTAAATGATTTGAATAATTTGAATGACGACTTTTAAAATCCTTTTAAAGTCCATATTACTACTAAAATAGATAATTTCTCATATTAAGAAATTTTTCCTTGGTAATACACATACCCTTTTATAGCGTCCAAATCAAGTGAACTAAATTTACTTCCTTATTCTTTTTCATAAAATTCTCAATTTTTCGATTACATAGATTTTTGCTTATCTGAAATTTTACAAATAAAAAGAAGAAGAAGAAACCTTTGAATAAACTTATCTTTTATTTATTTCCAGGACAAGATCTAGAATCCAGGTCCAGCCAACCCAGGGAGACCCCTGTACGGAATATAGAGGAATTAAGAACCACCCTTCTTCAAAATCTTGACGAAAAAAAGCGTATCTCTGTTCCCGATTCTGATGAGAAAATTAGCGTCCCTGGTCAAAATTTCGAAGTAGACAAGAATACCTCTCTTAAAAAATTAGAAGCACAAAGAAACGCTAATATACATCGGGAGTCCATCCCTCCAGCGGAAATTCAGAAAACAGATAAAAATGTTAAAAAGTTGAGAAAAGAAAGTATTCTCAAACATCATTTCCTGATGGACAAGTTTCAAAATAGTCGGAAAGAAGTAAGGGAGGTTAGGGAGACTGGGGAGGTCAAGGAGGTCATGGAGGTCTCGGAGGTCATGAAGGTCATGGAGGTTAGAAGCTCAGATGAAAGTGATAGTTCATCAGAGAGCTGGAAGAAAATTAATTCACTCAGGTATTCTTTACTCATCACATTTATAGTTACTCATTCATCGTTTTATAATTACTCATTCATCCTTTTATAGTTACTCATTCATCGTTTTATAATTACTCATTCATGTTTTATGTTACTTATTCTTTAATTTTTTCTTCTATAATTACTTTGTGGCTTTTTAATGGATGTTACCATAAGATATTAATCTTGTATAGTTCTGAGAGGGAGTATACTATACAGATATTAATCTTGTATAGTTCTGAGAGGGAGTATACTCTACAGATATTAATCTTGAAGGAGTATACTATACAGATATTAATCTTGTATAGTTCTGAGAAGGAGTATACTCTACAGATATTAATCTTGTATAGTTCTGAGGGGAGTATACTCTACAGATATTAATCATATATAGTTCTGAGAAGGAGTATACTCTACAGATATTAATCTTGTATAGTTCTGAGAAGGAGTATACTCTACAGATATTAATCTTGCATAGTTCTGAGAAGGAGTATACTCTACAGATATTAATCTTGCATAGTTCTGAGAGGGAGTATACTCTACAGATATTAATCTTGTATAGTTCTGAGAGGGAGTATACTCTACAGATATTAACCTTATATAGTTCTGAGAGGGAGTATACTCTACAGATAGAGGAGAAGGCTAACTTGAACAAACAAAATTCATCTAACAACAGGTTAATCAACACTTTTTTTATAAAGACAGGGTGTCACAAAAAAACATGCTAATAAACAGAAAGCTAGTAGACAGAGAGACAGATTGTGCGCCAGGAATCTAAAAGTACGATTGTGAGGTAGGAAGCTAATTGACAGACTGAAAGGTAGAAAGCTAATAGCCAGATAGAAAGATTGTGTGGTAGGAAGCTTATAGACAGATGGACAGATTGTTAGGTAGGAAGCTAATAGACAGATGGACATATTGTGAGATAGGAAGCTAATAGACAGATAGACAGATTGTGAGATAGGAAACTATTAATAGACAGATAGACAGATTGTGAGGTAGGTAGCTAATAGACAGATTGTGAGATAAGAAGCTAATAGACAGATAGACAGATTGTGAGAAAGAAAGCTAATGCATCGTTAATTTTAGAAGATTTGCTATTTTATAACAAATTTAAAAGATGGATGAAATTAGGTTGGGTTTAATTTGAACAGCTGAATTTTAGATAAATTCATCACTTAAGATATCTGAGGATTTTGAGGACATTAATTTTCTCTTTTCTTGGGGATATTTTAACATATATATGCAGTCCGACCCCGCCCCTTTTAGAGGGGCAGTTTTGGATACTTTTTAAAATAAAAATACATATATATTTAGGAAAATTACATATTAAGTCATTATGTAATTGTTTCCGACTTCGCTTTTTTATACTTTCATCAACTATTTATTTTGCTCCCATTTAAAAAAAACTCTCTCCCTCCCCAGGCCCCCCTCTCCCTCCCTACGCTATGCTAACCGCAGTCTCTGGCTTTTTACCTGTCTGGTCATCACATAGGATTAGGTAAAAACATATCATTTCAGATTCTGTAGAAAGCCAGAGACATATTTGAAAATTAGCAAAAACTCTGAAAAGAAAAAAACTGAGAATTTAAAGCCTAGAGATGAAAGGATAAAAGTTAAGCTGGCAAAGCTTGAAACTGTTCACAACATAAACAAAACTAAACAAATTAAAAGACTAAAAGACTAAAAATGTCGGACACTTGTCGAGATAAATAAATAGAAAATATAGAAAAATTAGCAAAGTAGAGCTAGGGGAACTACATATGCCAAGCTTTTTGATATGATTTCTATGAAATCATATATAAAACCCTTAAGAGTATAAGATCGAGAATTGCAGGTTTAAAATCTAACATTTGTATTCTTTTAGGCAAAAAAAATAATTAGAGAATCAAATTTAAAATACGCTAATATTTTGAAATATTCTGCAGGAATGATAAAGTAAAAAAGTTTAGATTGATCTTTAAAATATGTAAAGGAACTGAGTTTTTGCCACAAACTCAGATTTTCCTATTCCTATAACTTAGCAACCTGTTTTCCTAGACCTTTGATATTTCAAACTATTAATTCTGGTAGATGAAATAGTCTAAGTTTGAAATATCAAAGGTTTACACCATCAGGTTGCAAAGATATTGGGGTTAGAAAATATAAGTTTGTTGCAAAAACTCAATTCCTTTTCTACAGGTTGCATCAAGATGATAGTCTGTATGACACAGAATACGATTCAAGTTTAACAAGTAGCAAACACACAAGGCAAACATTAAAAGAACATTACAAATTAGATAGTTTTCTGCCCCCCCCCCCCCCACGGCAAGAAAATGCTTTTGATAAAAATCTACAAAGAGTAAGGTGCATTGAGTCCTAATAATCTTGAGACATCATCAGTAGCATTAAATGTCCGATAAACAAGGGCAGTTTCAATCATAGAGAATAGAATATATAGAGAGGAATTTAATGGAAAAAAGTGTAAAACGGCCATTTTGTTGTACTGTTTCCATACTGCAGGTGTACTTCACATATTTATGCTATATAACCTGTTGGGCCCTGGAATATCATTTTATAGAAAATCTAAAATTATTGTTAAAAGAAAACCAAATTATGAAATAGGCTGGTTTCATAATTGACCAATGATCATTTCTCATAGACTCTATGCCTTCCACTTTACAAACGATGATTTTCCGTTATAACTATAAATCAAATGATGTTTTTATTCACCTAATTCATTATAAAGTTTATTTAACAGTTTAAAAAATTGAAATTGAAATGGATAGTCTAGGGAACGTACTGTATTAATGTACTCTACTGCATATAATTTGTGAACATTTACATGATTTGTACACTTTGAACTCCCTTTCAGGCTGAAAGGGACTGACAAAATTCATACCGAGAGATTCTTTTAATTCCTCTCTATATATTCTATTCTCTATGGTTTCAATCCAATAATAAGAAAAACTTTTGTTTAGTTCCTTGAATACTGTCAAAGCAGATTAGCTAACGTAATTATTTCTTAAGAAGTTTTTAAATGATCCTTATCTGAACAAATACAGTTTCAGGAACAAGTAACACAAAACTTGAGCTGTAGTACAATTTTTAATGTTTTGTCTCTAAATAGTGGTACAAGCAGTAGATATAAAATCCACGGAAAACATACTGTACATGCTGTACACTCTACCTACGGTACTAGCAAGGAGGATGTTGTACCGATGCCAACCAAAACCAAGCAGGCCGAAAAACCAGATAATCATATCATAATACAGGTTTGTTAAAAACCAACTTTTTTTTCGAATTTTTTATTGTATTCTTATTTCGCTATCCCTGGTATCCCTGGTATCCCTGGTATCCCTGGTATCCCTGGTATCCCTGGTATCCTTGGAATCCCTGGTGTCTTTATATCCCTGGTATCCCTGGTATCCCTGGTATCCCTGGTATCCCTGGTATCCCTGGTATCCCTGGTATCCCTGGCATCCCTGGTATCCCTGGCATCCCTGGCATCCCTGGCATCCCTGGTATCCCAGGTATCCCTGGTATCCCTAGTATCCCTGGTATCCCTGGCATCCCTGGTATCCCTGGCATCCCTGGTATCTCTGGTATCCCTGGTATCCCTGGTATCCCTAGTATCCCTGGTATCCCTGGTATCCCTGGTATCCCTGGTATCCCTGCTATCCCTACTATCCCTGTATCTAGGAATATATCCTGCTGAGTAGTGGATCCCCCTGCTCCCTGTTAGGACAATGTATCCGAGTTTTCATCAGCTGTACTCTTAGCACTAAACTCAGGTAAATTTATTCTTTTATTTTATTTTAAGGCAATTATTCAGCTTTTTATTTTTGCAGAGATCCAGTTCGTGTGATGAGCAATGTTCGTCAGTTTATGAATGGATGTAAAAACTATCTTTTAAGGTAACAAAACGGGGTTAGAATCGAAGAACAAAATCTATTTTTATGTATACTATATAGGTTGTCGATAAAACCATGAAAAAAAAATACAAAGAGGTTGAGAGTGATGATGATAATCAAACATAAAGATAGAAAAAGAGAATTAGAGTTAACAATAACATGTATAAAGGGATAAAGATGGCGAGGATAATACTTAAATACTTTATAAATATCGGGTGAACTTTGTACTAATATACCTGTATTAATGACGGGTGAGGGTGATACTAATATACCTGTATTATAAGGACGGGTGAGGGTGATACTAATATACCTGTATTAAGGACGGGTGATGGTGATACTTATATATGTATTAAGGACTGGTGAGGGTGAGATCAAGCAACTGGTTGACCTGCAGAGGGTGAGACTAAAAGCAAATGAATATCTGAATATGGATACAATACTAGAGGATACTATGCATTTACTTATCATTAAACCACTCAGGTCAGTTAGTTTATCAATTAATCAATAAATTTCAAGAATCTGTTTTTTTCAATATAAACCACCTTTAGAAATATGAAAAAACGCTTTTTGTACATTTTTATGTACAATAGGACATCAATTTTTGCCAGATCTAGAATTCCTGTTCTTCATTTCAAATTAGAAGTTTTGAAAATGCATAATATAACTGTTTCATTATTTTTTTAGGTCTCATTTACGTGATCTCATCCAAACCAAGTACACCAGAACAAGTAAACATATTTAAAATCTTTTTTTTTTAATTGCTCTTTAAAAATNCCCCCCCCCCCCCGTCGGTTCCAGAAAATTGTCAAAAATTGATTAAGAAATTTTCAGACGAATCATTAATTTAGCAAATTATAAAATATGTCTAAATTTGACGTGTATGGATGTAAAGGATCATATGTTTAGGATATTTTGATGATTTAGAGGAAAGTGGAGAAAAATTCAAGGAATCAAAATAAATATTCTTTTTTAAAAGATCAAACTTCCTTAGTGAATAAGTGTTAGTTTTAAATTAAAAAAAAAACTATAAATCAATTGGTATCCAAAATCTATATACCGAGTATTGAATATTAATGAGAACTTTTTGAGAAAACACCTTTAAAAGTTTATAATATTTGTCTGATTTTGAAGAAAAAGAGCATGGAATTACTTACAGAAAAACGAAGGAAATTACAGGTAGGCAGTTTGTAATTTTTTAAATATTTTAATTTACATTTTTGTAATTTGTTTGTGGTTAATAATGATTTGCTAGAAAGCACTTATTACAAATACAAATTATACATTTTCAGTAGACAATAATCTAATCTTTTCCCATCCGGTTTACCGTTTATCACTTCTACATTTTTTACAAGTGTTTGGAAAAACGTTTATGGGGGTATTTACATGACACGACAGCATTTACATTTTTTTCTAAATAGGAAATTTCCCAAAAACCTAGGCATTTGGGAAATTTCCCAGATACCCAGGCATTTGGGAAATTCCCCAAATTCCTACAGGTATTTGAGGGTGGTATATTTTTAAGATTTTGAAAATTTCTCAAATGCCTGGGTACTTGAGAAATTTCACACATACCTAGGCATTTGGGAAATTTCCCACATACCCAGGCATTTGGGAAATTCCTATTTTTGACATTTTTGATAATTGCTGTCACTCCCTCGGTATTTAAAATAAATCATAATTTTAATTTTACGGATATCCAATGACAAGACAAGTTCCTACCCTTGTACACGGGATTTCCTATTAGGATTTATGTTGTAAACAGCAGTTTACTTGAAAGTTGGTTAATCTCGAGGAAATTAAGTGAACATTGATTTTGGGCGTCAGAAATCCACTCAAAATAATCTTGTTTTACTCAGGGTACCTCCGAGAGTAGTAGGGCTGAAGTAGACCGTATCCTGGTTTCCTTGTGCTCTGGATATTCTCCTCCGGAGAAGTTGAACCTAATCCTGAACCTGGTTCACCAGATTTTACTCCAGGTAGGGTAATAGCAAAAACGTTGCTAATAATTCCTAGAGTTTCTTTGGGTAATATGTCTATATCATTCAATATTCGTCATATTTAACATTTTTTTCTGAAATGTTTTTAGAAAATATTTTTCTAATACTAGTACCTTTGCAACATGATGTTGTATACATGTAACCCTAAACAGGCTGGGGGGGGGGCGTTCGGCGCCCCCCGCTGTAGTTTTTCTTTTTTTAAACCCTTTTTTAGGCATTTTTTCCACCATCCCTAGCACCCAAACTATTAAAGTTATCGGTCTAATTTTGCTTCTTTGAGCTGGCCATGAAAAATTGGGCTATGAAGATGCATTTCACTCCTATACCTATTCTCTATAATCTTTTTCTAGCGGGGGGCCCCAAACGCCCCCTCCCCAGGCTATACATAGATTCAGACCCCCCAGCCTTTATAGGGTTAATATTTCAAACTGTGACTGCATAATTAGTTTATAAAGGGTTATACCAGCAGACTACAGCTTGTTAAAGGGATTTGTAAAATAGAGTTTGAAGTAAGGGATTCTCTTTCCTACATATTCAAAGTATGTATACTTGAAAATCAGAAAACTGTGTTCTTACAGTTGAACAAAAATAGAGATAAATATTGCTAAGAAATTATTATTTGCTCTCCTGAACCCAGACCTGAACAAGATTAATCTCTCACCTTCAACTTATCTTCGAACTGAACCTTCAACTTTTCAAGAACATTTCAGAAATTAAAAATTCAGTCAAAACGTCAAAAATTCAATTTACATATTAATTTATTAGTTCTGTAGTTTTTTGTTAGAATAACATAGCGGAAGTAGTTTGAGTTCTTCCATTTCCTTTTTTATAAAACTGTATTTACAAAAAATATCAACTAAATTTTTATAGAGAATCTAGATTTGAAATATTTTAAAGAAAAAATATTATTGCATTTTTTCGCGTCATTATTAAGACTTTTTTAACTTAGCTGTAACTGTAATATATTTGCATTATATCTGACACTGTATCCTATTGGCTGGTAAAGTATCTGTATTGTAAAGTATATGTATGATAGTGTATCTGTATTGTATACTAGGCTGGCAATGTATCTTACTTTTATCCTAGGCTGGCAATGTATCTGTATTGTATCCTGGGCTGGCAATGTATCGGTATTGTATCCTATAGGCTGGTAATGTATCTGTATTTTATCCTATAGGCTGGTAGTGAACCTGTATTGTATCCTAGGCTGGCAATGTATCTGTATTGTATCCTAGGCTGGCAATGTATCTGTATTGTATCCTGGGCTGGCAATGTATCGGTATTGTATCCTATAGGCTGGTAATGTATCTGTATTGTATCCTATAGGCTGGCAATGTATCTGTATTTTATCCTATAGGCTGGTAGTGAACCTGTATTGTATCCTAGGCTGGTAATGTATCTGTATTTTATCCTATAGGCTGGTAATGAACCTGTATTGTATCCTAAAGGCTGGTAGTGTATCTGTATTGTAACCTAGGCTGGCAATGTATCTGTATTGTATCCTATAGGCTGGTAGTGAACCTGTATTGTATCCTAGGCTGGCAATGTATCTGTATTTTATCCTATAGGCTGGTAGTGAACCTGTATTTTATCCTAGGCTGGTAATGTATCTGTATTTTATCCTATAGGCTGGTAATGAACCTGTATTGTATCCTAGGCTGGTAATGAATCTGTATTGTATACTATAGGCTGGTAGTGTATCTGTATTGTATCCTATAGCCGGTATTGTATCTTTATTGTTATAGTTATAGTATTTAATTTCAAACATAAAATACAAAATAATAATGTATGATGGTTCAGCTTAAAGTAAAACACAAATTTGTTATGAGCCAATTGAAAATATAATGTTTGATAATTTTGTTTGATCGATTTTGTTAAAAAAAATTATGCATATTGAAATCTCAACTAAATATACATTCATTGTGCATTTACAAGTAGATAATTAGTCAGCACTCAAATAATCAAATTATTTTCAGTAATGCATTAATTGAACTTACAAATACATATTGACTCGTTGACTGTAGTAGACTTTGACATCTATTCTATTCTATTGTATTGTACTTAGGCTGTATTTGTAATTATATTGTACTCTAGGCTGGCCGTGTATCTGTATTGTACTCTAGGCTGGCCGTGTATGTGTATTGTACTCTAGGCTGGCCGTGTATCTGTATTGTACTCTAGGCTGGCCGTGTATCTGTATTGTACTCTAGGCTGGCCGTGTATGTGTATTGTACTCTAGGCTGGCCGTGTATCTGTATTGTACTCTAGGCTGGCCGTGTATCTGTATTGTACTCTAGGCTGGCCGTGTATCTGTATTGTACTCTAGGCTGGCCGTGTATCTTTATTGTACTCTAGGCTGGCCGTGTATCTATATTGTACTCTAGGCTGGCCGTGTATCTGTATATGACTGCTGTCTCCTGATCTCTTGTGAGCTATTGAACTCCTGTAAGGAGGTAAAGATGGAGCTGGAGTACCTGCAGGCCCTAATCTCCCCCTCCTTAATACAAGGAGAAGGAGAATACTACACATGTCTCCTGGAAACCTCGTTAAACCTTCTCTCAAGCCAAGTACTCCCAAATTCACAGGTATTCAGAAATCAAACTCTTCTCTCGGGTTTTAAAATAAAGAAATAATTATGGTTTACACTGTAACCATGTGAAATATGTCTGTTTAGGCCTGTATTATCAGTATTCCTGTCTCTGTACCACGTGACAAACATATGAGAAGTCCCGGAAATGAGAAGAGTGGTGATCAGCTGACTTCCAGACATCTTCCAGTTTTCCCGGGCATGACAATCAAATCTTTAATCAGCTGTGCCTCTTTTATATTTAGGTATTTTATAAGACTTAATTCATAGAGTTAAATATCTGATTCACAACGTGCCTTAAAATGTTTGTATTTTCAAAAATAGGATATCGAATGTTTTTAACTATACTGCTACAAAACTTTGCAGACAATTTTCAGAATTAAACACTTTATTCAAGCTAGGAAAACTACTGTATCTTCAACATTATTGATAAGAGATGTGAATTATGCAAGCCCCTCTTTTCAAATGGAGGGTCACTTAAAATTACAACGAAGGTCCCTTAAAAATGTTTTTTTTTCTTCAGATTAGAGTCCTCAAATTCATACTCTCTCTTTCTTATCCACGAAGGCAAAGGTAAAATCTTAATTAAACGAGGACGACATTTATCAAGTTCTTACAAAAAATATAAAAATTGTTGTTTAGAAGAGAAGTTGAATCCTGGAACTGAAGTTGATGAAATATTTCCCCAACTACGAGAAGAAAACGCTTCCCTTATTTTTAAAAGAGAAGATTCTAACATAATGCTCCCGCTTCTTCCTAAATCAATTAATTAACCTGAGCAAAGACAACAGCTTCTTCTGAAATCAAAAAAAAAATCCAAAAGTTGAAAATTTCTTTAATCTATTTTCACTTTGTAATTAAACAAAAAAAATACTCCCCCGGAACCTTTTACATAGCTTTAAATATTAGAAGAATTGTTCTTCTCTTATCTGATCTCAAATAAATATTCAATTTGTTGTTAAATGTTACCATGATATATAGAATGGCAGGCATAGAGATATCCTGTAGAGATATCTGGTAGAGATATCCGTTAGAGATATTCGTTAGAGATATCCGGTAGAGATATCTGGTAGAGATATCCGGTAGAGATATCCGGTAGAGATATCTGGTAGAGATATACGGTAGAGATATCCGATAGAGATATCCGGTAGAGCTATCCAGTAGAGATATCTGGTAGAGATATCTGGTAGAGATATCCGGTAGAGATATCCGGTAGAGATATCTGGTAGAGATATCCGGTAGAGATATCCGGTAGAGATATCTGGTAGAGATATCCGGTAGAGATATCCGGTAGAGATATCTTGTAGAGATATCCGGTAGAGATATCCGGTAGAGATATCAAAAAAGAGGGGAAAAGAGCAGATTAAGCATAACACGCCACTCTAAAAGTTGCATGGTCCGAGCCGGTACAGCATATACTATATATGAATTTAGTCGTACTGTCCAGTCTGGAATACCTGAAGTGAATTCAGCCCATCACGTTTTATGTAACAAATGTACCCTGGGAAGCTCACAATAAGAAATAAGAAGTGTCCACAGCGGATATTCAGACTAAGCGATCGGTATTAAGGGTATCCAATCCAAGTTTTCCGTTCTTCTGGATAAAATACTCTAACTTTGAAATATCAAGGTTTACACAATCAGGTTGCGAAGATATAAGGTCTAGTAAAGTTTTTGGCAAGAACTTTCTTTGGCTAAAAATAAGATCTTACAAAAACATCAGACAAACCGTGATCTCCAATCTTTACATTATAAAGCAAAAAACACATTTTTAACTTTTTTTCGCTGTCGACGAATACGATAAAATATCGTCCGAAATTATTTAACGATGTGATGTGAGCTTATTTTACTAGTAACAGCTAGACTAGAACTTCATCATATAACATTAATACTTTACAATTATTAAATCACAAGTTTAGCTAAATTTGTCTGTTTACACGGCAACAATTGCTATTTCAAATGCTCATTGAGTTTTTCAAAGTCATAATTTGATTGAAAAGTCATCTTCATATTTCAGAGTTTTCTGATTATCCCTGTAGTCTAAGTATAGGTCTGGAAAAGGAGAACAGGAACATTAGAACCAGGATCGCCAGGATCACCAGGTTAACTTTCTAACTCCCGGACCTCAATCCAATCTAAAATCTGTGGTCTATAGAAGATGAAGTCGGAAAAGAATCAGCTTCATGATATTGCTTAAGAAACATGATCCTGGAGACCCTGGAGACCTGAATTCATCAATATTAAACCGAGTAAAAGATGTCTAATTGTCTAATAGTCGGGGTCATTATGTAATACAAATATTTATAATAAACAATTTAAATTTGAGTCATGAATTACATTCTTTACCCCTATATATATATACACCAAAGAATTTGATAAAGAGCTAAAAATAATCGATATTAATGTTAAGCCAGACTTAAATCAAACTAAAAAAAAATAAAAGATAAAATAAAAAATGTGAGAAATTTTTTTTTTTAGAGGAATTGACGAAATTTTAAGTAACTCGAATCTCCATTTAAACACTAGTTTCAAAAAGGGTGTTTATTCTATAAAGGTAACTTCTTTAACTTCATGAAATGCTTAGCGTTTTTGTTTTCAGATTAATTGTAATTTATGTTCTGAATTTACAGTTCAAACTTCAAAAAATATATCGGCTCTGAAGTTGTAAAGAATTACAATACAAAAGAATGGATACAAATTTTCAATGACAGACAATTTCGTAAAATGTATAACCCGTAAAAACGTATGCCTGATATGAAGCCAAATGTTTTGAAGTTACAGTTAAAATTTCCCCCCCCCCCTCCCTTCCCCCTAGGAGCTTCTCGAGGGGGGGGGGGTAGAAAAAATGTTTGGCCCCCCTTGATTTATTTCTGTGTACGCCCTTGATATTTGCAGACAAATCTCTTATTTCTAGAAATAGTGAGATAATTTGGCAGACTTTTGCAAAGATATAGGGATTATAAAATCAGAGATTGTGGCAAGGACTTAATTCCTGTCTATAAATTTACTTAAACTCAAAAAATCATAAAACTAATATTTCGTTGACTCGATTAGTTAAAAAAAGTATTTTACATATAGCCTCCTATAAATGTCGTCTTGTATAAATTTTATTTTACATATAGCCTCCTAAAAATGTCGTCTTGTATAAATTTTATTTTACATATTGTGCATTTGATGAATATTGAATTGCGTTACTACATTTCCTTTTTGTAAGTTAAAGCAGAAAGTTTGTCAGTTATAACAAGATGCAGATCACGAAAATTAAATATTGACAATTTGACATTTAATGATAAAAGCAAAAAAATAAATATTTTACTTCTGCCCTAAAATTGGACAAAAATATACCAAAATATTTACAGTTTTTAACATTAATAGATAAATTTAATAATATATTATTTATTATTTATGAAATCAAACTAAGAATATTTTCAAAGTTCTCCGATAATAATTTTAGACAAATCGGTCAGGGGGTTCCTAGGATATGGTCGGACATACAATAAAACAGCGAAGCACCCAAAATAGACACTGTAAAGCTCTACTATAATAATCTGAATTTAGCTTAAAATCATAATTCAGTCAGAGCAATCTTGAATATTTTTCAGTTAACAAAACAATATTTGATAAATATGTATTTTATATCTTTAACTGCTAATTATCTTATATTAGATATAGTTATTATATTATTCATTATATTGTTAACATGTTGCCACACAAAATCTTGAATTTAGCAAGTAAAATCTGGTAGTAAACCCCCTGAACACATTTCTTGGGGTCCACCTGCTTGTGTAATGTGTATATATATATATATATAAATATATAAATAAAATACAGCTTCAGAACTTTCATTGTGAATAATTTAGCAGCACTTTAGATTTATTTAAAGCAATAGATAAATTCATTGACAGTTTTAATTGGAGAAACTATACTCAAGGATTAAAATAATCAAAATAAACAAAATTGTATTTTGGTGGAAAAAATACCGAAGAAATGAAATATGAATCGTTAAATTTTTTTCGGTTTTCATTTCATATTGTTTGTTTTTTGGATGTTTTTCAAAATTATTTTCAAATAATCAAAATAAGCGTATTTTAGCGACAAAAATAAAGATGAAATTATGAAATATTTAGAATGAAATATAAATCATAAAATAATTTTTATTTTAAAAATATTTATTTTAAAAATATTTATTCTGTTTTTGTTGGTTCATCTTAAATAATTTTCAAATAATCAAAATAAACAAAATTGTATTTTGGCAACAAAAAACCTAAAGAAGAAATCAAAGAATATTGAAAATGAATTATGAATAAAAAATATTTTTCATTTTTCATTCCATTTTCTGTTTTTCTTTGTTCATTTTCAAAATTATTTTTTTCAAAAAATTAAAATAACCAAAATTGTATTTTTTTTGGCCAAGAAAACTAAAGTGGAAATCAAGGAATATTGAAAATGAAATGTGAGTCTTTAAATATTTTTCATTTTATAAATAATTATTTTGTATTTTTGGATCATACATCTCAAATCTTTTTGGAGATATTGTTTCTAATTTCAATGGTTTTTAAATAGGATTTAAATTGTAATTATATAAAATGTTTTTGGCTTTCTTAATTCGACGAATTTATGTCTTTAGCTTTTGTTACAATTGTACAATTACAATGTTTAGAAATTCTGAACTTGATCGTAAAAACTTTAGGAAAAATATGTACAAGCCCTTTAGTTCGGACTGCAACATCATTGAACACTTTTGTGCGTATACTTAAATTTTGTTATTACTTTTTTATGCGTTTTATTTTCAATGTTTTGTACAAATTCAGTCTCCATCCTTGTTCTTTACAATTATTTTCACAACATAAAATCTTTTCTCTTGTTATACAGTACACACGATACATACACCCTGATATAAACAGTTATGAAAATCATACATTATCTATTGAGATAAGCCGACTTTGAAGTGCTGCCAGATCACCTAAGATTTAGATCGGGAGATTTTAAATCTGTTTTTGAAGGAGTAATTTGAAAAATCCTAAATTCATCAGAATTTAAATATTTTATTTACAGCGGAAATAGTTGAATCTAGCATGATACCAAAGACTCTTTAAGTCTTTGGTTAGTGTTACACACATACCCGGGTAGAATCTTAGAGTCTGAAACCTAGTCTTAGACGCCGGGCCGACCTCCTCAGACCCTCTGTTTTTGGAAAAAAATATCAAATTTCACCAAATATATGTAATATGAGCAAAAACCATTAAAATATTTGAGCATTCCTCTCCCCATCCCTTTCTTCAAGCACCCCTCCATATGTCCCAACCCCAGTTTCTGCTGTTT